GTTTGACTGTGTGGATCATAACAAACTGGCTGACTCTGAAAAGCATGGGAATCCCAGAACACTTGATGGTGCTAATGCGAAACTTAAACTTGAACCAGGAGGCAGTCGTCAGAACAGAGTAAGGAAACACTGCATGGTTCAAAATTGGAAATGGCCAAAGTGTGCATGCAATAAAAATTCATGGCCTGTCCGGAGGTTGGTGAATTTGAAACCCCAGAGGTGTGCTGCCTCTGGGCTTGTAGCCCAGTCCCCACAGGACAAGCCACAACTCAAGAAAAACCATTGGTAAAATCTGCAGTATAAGCTGAATTGGTAGGATTTGGGATATAACTTCCCCCAACTGTCCTCAAACCTGATCTCTTTGCTCTTTTCTACTCCTGGGAAATTTTGAGATAATCCTCTAGTTTTTTCTGTTCCATTTCACCCATTAACAATCTCATTTTCAGACTTTAAAAAAATCCCAGTTAGCCATACTACTACTTCCTGTTATATAGCGACGAGTTGGAACTAAATCAGAGCTGACCCTCCAGCAGGTTTTCAGAGGCAATTAATCACACGGGAGGAGATTGCCCATCCTTCTTCTGTGGAGCAGCTAGTGGATTCGAACCACATGTTTTTGAATTGACAGCACAACTCCTTACCACTTAGCTATCAGAGCTCCCTAAACCATCATTGCAAATCTGTGTATTATTTTCCCCCATCTGTTTTAGAACTTTTTACTTCCTCCATAACTCACGTCTCACTCAAGCTTACAAATGAGCAGGAGCGTGGTAGGTAGAGAACATGTTTTGTTTCTGATTTCATCATCCTCCTGCCCTCTACGTCCTCCTCTGTTTACTTGTTGCTTGTGGCCCCTGTAAATTAGACACAGGGTTTGGATGCACTAAATTTGAAGGACAAACTCTTACCTGGTGTGTGCTTCTCTACTCCTCACTGTGGGAGATATGGCAGAAGGCTACTGCTGGTGTCCTCGGGGTGGGGTGTTTTCCATGCATTATTTTGATACTCCTTTATCAGTATGAATCCGTGTCCCCAGGTTTGATGTACTTTTCACTTGTATCTTTCTGCTGGTGGATCATTGCATGTGGTCCCTCTTAGACAAAAGTCTTTTCTGAATAACTGAGGCCCAGCTACCTTGCTCCACTAAGAATGGAATAAGTAGCCAGCTCTTCTTACAGACTACCTTTTCATGGTTATTAAAGAGGTGGCTTCAGCAAGTTCCTGCCTTTAGATACCCCATGGGCAAGATAGAGGCACAAATCCTGTACTCTCCCCACCCTACAAAACAAAACACTGTACTCTCCCCACCCTACAAAACAAAACACTGGTTTATCATCTCTGAGATCACGCCAGAGTACTAAAGAGCAACAAAAATGTCACTTTAAAGACTAAGGTGTGCCTGATCCAAGCCATGATTTTTCTCAATTGCTTGATAAGCATTTGAAAGTTAGACAGTGATTAAAGATGACAGCAGAATTACTGCCTTTGAGTTGTAGTGCTGGAGAAGAGTACTGAATAGCACATGAACTGCCAAAAGAATGAACAAATATGTCTTGGAGAAAGTGAAATCAGGGTGCTCCTTGGTGGCAAGGATGGTGAAACTCCATCTCACATACTTTGGGCATGTTGCTAGGAGGGGTCAATTCTTGGAGAAGAACCTCATTCCTGGAAAGGTTGAGGGTCAGTGTAAGAGAAGATCCTCAACAAGGTGGGTTGACACAGTGATTGCAACAAAGGGCTCACGTGTGTTCAAGAGGTTGGCACAGGATAGGTCAGGATTCCGATTTGTTGTTAAGAAGGTTATTATGAGTCACGGTTAACTTGTTGATGCATAACAGCAGTAATATATGCACCTACAGCTTCAATTTCTATTTCTTTTTCCATCACCATCCAATTGGATCAGACTCATAGCTGCCTCTCTATTGAGCTGCCAAGGCTGCAGATTCCACAGGATGAGATTGCCCATCTCTCCACAGTCAACACTCTTGGCACCAGCAGTCAGGAAGTCAAAAGATGAATTGCACTGGGATAATCTGCCCTCAAGGTTCTCTCCAGAGTACTGAGAAGCAATGATATAATTCTAGAGACTAAGGTGCACCTGATCCAGACCGTGGTCTTTGCAATTACTTGCTATGCATCAGAGAGCTGGACAATGACTGAGGATGAAAGAAGGATTGATGCTTTCTATTTATGTTGCTGGAGAAGAGTCCTGAACATACCATGGGCTGCCAAGAAAATAATTAAGTCCATCTAGGAGTGGGTGAAACCAAGTATCTCCTTGGAGGTTAGGATTTTGAAGCTCTATCTCACATACTTTGGGCATGTGTCCAGGTCCTTGGAAAAGGACATCATGCGTAGAAGGGTGGAGAGACAGCACAAGAGAGGAAGACCCTGGATTAGATGGATTGTTATAGTAACTGGGGTAATGGGAGTAGGTGTGTCAGAATTAGTGAAACTGGCTCAGGACAGGGCAGGCTTCAGAGCTGCTGTACATATGGTTGCTACGAGTCACAGGCAACTCAATGACACATAACAACAACTCCTGAGGTGGAGTCCAATCGCCAGAGAAGCTGGACCTTTGGTTTAGCAGAGCATGCCACAAGAGCTCTCTAATTTTTCTGTTGTTGTATGTGCTGTCAAGTTGAGTATGACCCATAGCAACTCTATGAACAACACATTTGAACCCTGTCTTATCCTGTGCCAACCTCACGATCTCTGACACACTCGAGCCCATTGCTGCAGTTACAGTGTCAATCCACCTGGCTAAGGGTCTCCCTCATTTCTGCTGCCCTTCTACCTTTGCAAGCATGATGTCACTCTCTCCAGGACTTGGCCGCATGCCCAAAGTATGTGAGATACAGCGTCATCATTTTTGCTCCATGGAGCACTCTGGCTATGCCTGACGTCATGAGAATTGGTTTTTGTATTGTGGATGCTGTTGGGGGGGGGGGCAATTCCCCTCATGAAGTCAATAGAGATCAGACTTTACCGTCCTGCCACCCTCGCTCTTTTTACAATGACCAAAAAACTTCAAGGAGACTGTTGTACTTGAAGTGAACCCACGTTGACTAGGATAAAAGGACTTTCCAGGCAGAACGAACATGTGATATATTTGAAAACACTCAGAGTCCTGCTGGTAGTTTGGTACACCTGCAACTCAGGATGCCAGAGGCAGAGCTTACGACGAAAGAATGCAGAGAGGTACCTGGAAACCATTCCCTGCTAAAGAGCTTAGGCTATGTGTGTGTGCATGCATGTGTGCTTCTGAATAAGGGATGAATGAACATAACAAAATTTGCTTACTAGAAATGGATGAGTTAGAAGGGTAGCATGAGGGGGAGGGGCTGGTAGTGTAGTTCGTAACATATTGGGCTGCTAGTTTGAAAGTTTTGCAGTTGGAATCCACAGCCTGCTCTGTGGAAGAATGATGGCCTATCTCTCCCCCGACAAAGATGTACAGTCTTGGCTGCAATGGAGGCCCGGCTAGGAGCTGGACCTGACTGGATGGCAGTGGATTTGGTTTTGGTTGAGGGTATACCTCACTTTCATTGCCTTCCAGAAGATTTCCCGTTCTAGCTGACACTCCATTGGGACTCTGAGTCTCTAATCACCTGGAAGGAGACTGCCCATCTTTCTTTTGTGGAGCTGCTGGTGGATTCGAACCACCCAGAGAAGCATAGGCTTTTGTTAGCAGCTTAACTTTCTACAGACTACACTCTACCAGAGTTCCCAGGTGTCAGGCTGGGAGGCAGGAAAATCAAATAGGAGACTGTCCCCACGTAAAACATGAGGGGGACTTGAATGAAGGTGACAGTGACAGAACAGAAGTGGAGTTCTGAGTGGTACACACAGTTACACACTCAGCTGGAAACTACAAGCTTGGCCACTTGAATATGTCTACAGTTGCTTCAGAAAAAAGGCCTGACAACAAACCTGTGTCTGAAAGGTCAATGGCTGGAAATTTGGACAGTGGGAAAATATTGGTAACTTGTGTATCTTGTGGTGTACCACTGAGTAGGAACTGACGCATAACGGCCATCAGGGGGTTTTCAGAGGCCATATATCACACGAGAGGAGACAGCCAATGCTTCTGTGGAGCACCTATGGATTCAAACTATGTGTCTTGGCGCTGGCAGTGCAATTCCTTGCCATCAGACCACCAGAGCGCCCTAGAAATTGACTTATTTATATATGGATGTAAAAGCAGGAGTGGCATTCACTTCCAAAAAAAAAAAAAGCCAGAAAAGCTTGCCTTCGGAAACTCTATGAACTTGGAGAAAAGTGAAAGTTTCATGTCAAGACTTTGATTCATAGGGTTGCTAAGGGTTGCCTATGACTCAACGGCACTTAACAATAGCAACATCTGTACATATGAAATTGACTATAGCTGGCCCTCTGAGGGTATTCAGAGTCGGCACATTGAATGGGAGGAGACGGCCCCCTTTTCTCACACAGGCGCTGGTGGATGCTAACCAGCAAAGGGTCTGTGGTGCATCTCCTTACAGAGGAGGCCAGCAGCTCCTTACCACATTCTCATACAGGGAGAGTAAAATAAGCTTCCAGGGTCACCTCAAAATGTACACACACACAAACACACAGAGACACACACTCAGTAATGTTTTCCTTTTATTGTTGCTAGTTAGTTCATTAAAGTGATGCTTTTTTTCATTTTCTCTTTTTCAAACAGTCTGATTAACACAGTGAGTACAATTACAGTTAAATGTCACTATAGGTATCTATTATTATTATATATATATATATATACGCATTTCAGAAGTTTAAAATACAGTTTCACCGGCATCACCCGTGACTGCAGTTGAGGACTTTGTAAAGACGGGAAGAGGGTTTGATGGGCTGAATTCTCAAGAGCTGTTTAGTGGCCGTGTCCCAGTCTGCAGCCAACTCAAGGCGCTGGCAGATTGATGGATACTGTCCTTCCGTTCTCCTTACCCACTCACTGGCTTTCTTTATATCCTCAGTATTCCAGGGAAGATCACTAGATTAAAAAAAAAATAGATGCTTAGATTCACTGCAGAATATACTTATATATGAAATGCAATAAGGTATGAACTCTAGCACCTTCTATCAAATGAAAGAATTCTGTTGAAAATGAAGAGACCAAATTGTTACATCAACATTTAACAAAAAAGAATTATCTCTGATATTTTGTGGCACTTCTTCTGTCAGGTCAGCCTGACTGGCACTTGACTTTCAATTTAATCTGTTTTCAAATATATCACAGTCACTCTCTATCTTCCCAACTTCCAGTATACTTTATAGACTTTCTGCTAGATCAAGGAATATGCAGTCTTCTCCCGGCTTCTAGATGTTTGTTTACGGCCATCCCCTTGCCACTCATCTCAATCTGAGTCCTATCTCTCCTTCAAACACATGCTAGCACTATTTTTCAGAGTAGGTGTGGCTTCTCTCTTTCCAGCCATGCCAGGAATTTGAATTGATTAATTTTGCAGACTACATTTAAGGAGCTCTGGCGGCCTAGTCTGTAGGCAGTTGTGCTGTTAATCCATCGGTCACACCTCTCTGGTGGTTCGAATCCACCAGTGGTTCTGAGTGGGAAAGACGTGGATTCTCTTCCCAAGTGATTTACAGCTTTAGAAACCCAAGAGAAGGGCGCTCTGGTGGCCTAGTGGTAAGGAGCGGCAACTACAATCCCAGAGGCACACGGTTCGAACCCACCAGATGCTCTGCTGGGGAAGGAGGGACAATCTCCTCCTGTACCAGTCAGATCTGATTTGACAGTACACTCACACGAAAATAATAATAAAAAAAAAAGAAACCCAAGAGAAAGCCAGCTATGGGTCGGTTCCAACTCAGCAACAATGAGTGAGTTTAAGGATTATACTTATTTCTATTATAAAAGCCAGTAACAATAGATTAATAGATGATATATAACAAAAACTGTGTTCATAATATAAAAAAATTATAATGATAGAATTGTTAATATTAATTTTCTATATCCTCCTTTGTCTTGTCATCTAGGAATTGTGAGCCCAACAAGTGGTCACATACACCAAAGTGTTAAAGAAAATTCTTTGTAAGGAAACATCAAATATTGAAAATACTACCTTCCTGACCTTGTATTTTCCCGCTGTGAATTATGAAAGGGCCATCAGTATGGTGTTGAGGTGAAGAACTAGGTTCAAATCCTGATGCTACAAAACATTAGCTGTGTGATGTACAAATTTCATTCAACAATGGCTGCCTCAGTTTCCTCAATTTTTATAAAAGTACAAGAAAGTAAGGGAGGAGAGGGCACACCTCAAAACTCAACTAGTTCATAGAGTTACGGTCTATATCTTAGTGTGTTGAGTAGTATCTGGAGTCTTAAAAAGTTTCTGAGTGGTCATCAAAGATAAAACTATTAGTGTCTACCTGTTCAGCACAGAAGAGAAAGAAGGAAACCAAAGGTTCAAAGAAGAAATTCATTTTGGGGACAGACTACACAAACCAGAGCATCATCTGTTCTGAGAAAAGCAGGACTAGAGGGTGCCTGGCTAAGATTAGAAACCATTCTCATCAGGGAATAATAGTAATAGTAGTAGTAGTAATAATAATAATAATAATAATAGTGATAGCTGGGTCCTGACAGAATGGGAGAAAAATGGGAAACAGAGCCTCCCCTAAAACAAAACAAAAACCAAGCACACAAAAAGCCACATTACTAGACTGATTGAGACTGGAAAATGCCTAGGATACTTTCAAACCTTGAACCTGAACAGAAACCTGTGAGGTCACCTTAAAACCAAGCAACAGATTGACTCACACAACATAATGAACATCACAGTAAGTTCTGCACTCCTTTAAATAATCATATGTAGGAGACCAAATGGTCAATAATCACTTTGAAACAAAGAAGGCAATGTAAGGGGACAGGGAAACTAGAAAAAAGGAGACAGAACAAGCAGAACAGAAACAATGAGAATGCTCACCCAGTATGAAGAATATAACCAATATAACGGAATGATTTGTGAGCACTGTTAAATGGAAACCCTCAGTGAAGGTATAAACTTTCACTGGAAACATAATAAAACATTAGTTTGTTGTTTGTTTTTTATTAAAAGTAGTATATAAGTGTAAAATAATTCCATGTAGCCATCTCACAAGACTTAAGAAATGATTGAAAATAAATGCTTAATAATTAAAACTTATAAAGCTACCTGGAAACAGAAGGGTCATCTAACTTCATCAGTGACATGAAAACTATTCCTTCTTTTTCCAAATTGATGCGAAGAAACTGTAGTACCAGGAGGGTGGCAATCAGATCCAGGAGACATTCTTGTCCTTTAAGACCTGAAAGGAAAAAATCCATAAATTAAAAACTCTGTACGTTTGAAACTGCAGCTCAAATTACGTCTATTTATAAAAGCTGTATTAAAGATTTAGAATGTTATTAAACCATAAAACACTCTGTTGTTATGTGTCATAGAATGGATGACTGATGGTGACTCTATCAGTAATGGCTCTGAATCTGGCCCTATCCCAGCTAATAGAACCCTAGACTGCTCTCAAGACCTTTAATTAGCCAGCTGTTCAAATAAAAACTGAGGAAGAATGGAATGTGTGTTTATCATATCAACTACGATGTTAGTGAAGAATATTAACTATTGAACAGACCCTGCACTGCTGAAGAATGAACAAATCAATCTGTCTTGGGAGAAGCTGTGGTTTCTCAGCCACAGAATGTTCCTTAGAAGGATAATGGTTGGACTCTTGTCTTACTTTGGACAGGTTAACAGTAGGGACAGCTGATTACATTAAGGTAACACATTCTTTATAGTGACCTGTACCTGCTGGGGAACAATGCTCTTCGGCAAATGAACATATTTACTCTGTCATGAAACACCCAAATGGAATGCTTTGATATAGTGACCCCAGAACTTAACAATCCATTTCTTAAGCTACAAAACAAAAGCTTTGAAAAGGTGTTATTTTCTTTTTTTTTATTTTAAATTGATTTTAATGAAAGCTTTTAGACTTTGGATTCCCACCCCTCCCCCATAATTCACTTTTTTTAAAAAAGTAAAGGAAGAAAATTCCTTCATTGTTATTTAATCCCTCCCCCCAAGTCCACTCCACTATGCTACCTTCATTCTCGACTCCTGTCCAAACAATAATATCTAATCATATATCCCTTTTACACAGTTCTCTCCGTCATCTGTTTCAATGCAGTATACATTTTTCTAATTGCCCATATAATGACACTAAGGCAAAACTTTGTCTCACATACTTTGTCCATGTGGCTAGGAGAGGCTATTCCTTGGAATATGATGCTTGAGAGGGACAGCGAAGGAGAGGAAGACCCTCAACCAGGTGGAACTGCTACAGTGAGTGCAGCAATGGGCTCTAGTGTGTCTGAGGTTGTGGGAATGCATAGGATTGGACAGGGCTCAGATCTGTTATTCATGGGGTTTCTATCAATCATACCTGACTTGATGACACCCAACAACAACAATGTAACTCACGTGTTTCACATCTCTCTTCATTATCAATAGAAGCACAGTGAGTATTCTCATAGGTAACTCATCTTTACGCCTTCTTAGGTGTTTTGTGTACAGCACCGTAACAGTCACGTAAGGTACTGTTTTATTACAAAATATTTTAAGCACAGAACAAGTAAAAAGAATATTAAGATGACTATCACAACCACCATCAGCTTGTCAAATCTCAACATTTTCCTACTTCTGCCTCAAACATCTCTTCTTAAAAAAAGAAATTATATTATAAAATTATAATATTGAATATCTCTCTTCTGATACACTTCCCTCTCCTCCTGTTTCAGAGATCATTCAGAAACACTTTTGGTTTTGGGGATGACATCTTCATGAGGTTACATAGGTTTTAAAATAAGCTCATTAAAGAATATTCCGTGTTTGTGATCGCTGATTTTTATTCCGCAGAATGCTTTACAAGGTTTAGTTAAATTCCTTTCACTTTCCTTTCTTAGGATGTATGTTCAGTAACTTCTTTTTTTTTTAATTTTTAAAAATTTTATTCTTTTCGTGCATGTACCGTCAAATCAGATCTGACTGGTACAGGAGGAAATTGTCCCTCCATCTCCAGCAGAGCATCTGGGGGATTTGAACTACACACCTCTGGGATTGCAGTGCAGCTTCCTGCCACTAGGCCACCAGCGCTCCCAGTTCAGTAACTTCTTTAAGTAAAATGAAAATGAGTTAAGGCCAATTCAGGATGAGTCCCTTATTCTACTGACACTGTTATTCAGAAGAAAATAATGAATAGCTTAAACACAAAGACTAGAGTGTCTACTGACTCCTCTTCTGAGTAAGCCTTTTTCAAAACAAAACTCTTGTCCTGTAATTGCTGCTAATGTTGTTGGGTGCTATCTGATTGACTGGGACTCACTTGCAACCTTGTGCACCACAGAGGTGCATCATCTTGTCCTATCCTGCCGCATCCCCATGACCCTCGCCAAGCTTGAGCCCACTGATTTAGTCACTGGGCCAGTCAGTGGCCCACTGGGGGTGTTTCTCCCCTTCGCTGACTTTCCACCTTCCCCAGCATGTCTTTTGCCAAGGCCCCTCCTGACCGCACGCCCAGAGCATGTGAGACAACGTTTCACCGTCCTTGGCTCTAAGGGCTCCCCGCGTGCTCTTCCTCCATGACAGGTTTGTTCTTTCGGCAGTTCATGACATATTCAATACTCTTTGCCAAAATCACAACTCAAAGGCATTCTTCTTATTAATCAGTCTCTCAGTCTTATAATTAAAACGATACAACTACCTTTTTTACATCAAGACCAAAATTACCGGTGCATAATATGAACATATCTACACAACCATCACTTCTTTTACATCACTAAAATAAGCCGAAACAGCCTCTATAAAGAGAGGGCTTTTAGTAAATGACATTATTCTATTAGTAAAGGAGAAGTGAATACCTCTTTAAAAAGACAAAACTGCAAAAATCAATCTATTATCCTACAGAAGAAAATCAAAATGACATTATTCTATTAATACAGAAGAAGTGAATACTTCTTTAAAACGACAAAACTGCAAAATCTATTATCCTACAGAAGAAAATCAAAATGACATTATTCTATTAATACAGAAGAAGTGAATACTTCTTTAAAACGACAAAACTGCAAAATCTATTATCCTACAGAAGAAAATCAAAATGACATTATTCTATTAATACAGAAGAAGTGAATACTTCTTTAAAACGACAAAACTGCAAAATCTATTATCCTACAGAAGAAAATAAAAATGACATTATTCTATTAATACAGAAGAAGTGAATACTTCTTTAAAACGACAAAACCGCAAAATCTATTATCCTACAGAAGAAAATCAGTAGTGACAAACCAGAAGCAGATTATGCTGTTCCTTTTTCTTTTTACACTGATGTTTTCTAGTGATGTTAATAACAAGCAGTACGCTTCTATTAAAAAAGATCAATATTAAAAGAATTAAATACATCAGAGCCGTTTAAAAGCAAACTTGGATGGTGAAGGGGAGATAAAGAAAAGCAAGATTAAACCAGGCAGAAAAGAGCTGGATAGAGAAATGACACAAAGTCAAAGAAAAACGAAGACAATTTGAGGTTGCAGATAGATGAAAAGAAGAAGAAAAACACACACAGAGAAAAATAATGCTGGTATTGTGGGCAAACACAGAATAAGACAAGGGAAATGCATACAAAACACAGACCTGCAGAGAAACCCCATCTCTTGACTTCTGACATCAACTCCCCTGCGGTTGTTAAAAGCCTCCACATTGGCTGGGACTCAGGGCGACCCAAAGCACAAGCACCCCAAACCCGGCCTGATCCTGTGCCGTCCTCATACTCTCTCTGTCTCTGTCTTGCTTGAGACCACCCCTGCGGTCACCATGTCAATCCATGTCCTTGAGGGTCTTTCCCTCACTGACCCTCCACAGTTTCAAGCATCATGTACTTTTCCAACGACTTGCCCCTCCAGACAACACAGCCAGAGTGTGCAAGACAAGTCTCCCCTTCTTGACCTGAAGGTCGCACTTCTTCAATGAAAGTTGTTCATTTGGCAGTCTGTGGTGACATACTTGCTGTATTAATACATTAATTTACATGGATGCAAACCAATGTGATATTAAAAAAAAAGAAGAAGAAGAAAAAGTAAAGTAATTGCTAAGTCGAGAACATTTTATTCAATTAATGCTGGGGAAGAAGTATCTTACCTAGAGACCGGATGCCTTTTTCTTCAAGAAAGCACTTTAACAAGTTTGTATTGAGGTTTAAGATAAGTCCTAGTTCTGGAGTAAGTTTCCAGAAGCCATCCTATGAGATTAAGAAAAGAAATTTAAGTCTCTTCATTAGCAGTGCATCACATAAGAAATTTAATGAGCTTCCATTATTTCAACTCAATGATTTCTAAAATGGTATTGCCGTAGAATTAAACTTTTTTATAGACTCGTGACACTTTTTTATTGACTACTTTCTCACCAACACCATGAACACTAAGGACCTAGAGGCCTTTTAGAAAGACTATGGGGAAAAGCTGATGTACAAAGAGTTAGATATTGATTTTTTTTTCTAGCAGAGTTTGAGCCAGTTTGTCAATCTTTTATACACCTCATGATCCCTTCTGTTCAAAATAAAGAGAATGGCCTTTTGGAGTCTAAAATATGAAACTCATACTTTTCTAAATAAAAAAAAATTGCAATACTGGTTTTGATCTTTAAAGCTACACACGTGCTTCCTTGTACCCACCACCCCCTGCGCCCCTCAGCTCAACGTCACTGCCTCCAAGGCCGATCTTCATACGCTCAGAAAGCACGGGAAGCCTGAAGGTGGGGATCTTAGCCTGGAGGTGAAAAGTCCCTCAGGCCTCTGGGGAACCGACAGAGCGGAAATGAGGACGTGCTCGTGGGCAGCCACACAGGTAAGAATATTATTTTTTTTTTAAAGCAAACAGTACACGCTAGTCTAAACTGAGCTAATGGTGGGTGTGCTCTTCATCTTTCCAGCAGCTTCTGTAAGGCTCTTGGTGTTTTTTTTTAAGCTTTTGTCTCATTTTCCCCCCTTTTAAAAAAAAATTTAATGAAACTTTACAGACTTTGGATTTCCATTCATTCATTGTTGAACTTTTCTCCCTGCCCACTCCTCCCTCCAATTCACTCTTCTCTTTGAAAAGTAAAAGAAAAATTCATTGTTATATAACCCCTCCCCCAAGTCCACTCCAGTGTGCAGCCTTCTTTCTGGACTCCTGTCATGACAGTAATACCCAATCATATATCCCTTTAAACAGCTCTCTCCCTCATCTGTTAAGAAGGCTCTTCTTAGATTCACTTTGCAGACAAGAATGCTGAAATCCTAAGCAGCAGAATAGGGTTTGAACCTCTATAGCATAGCTGCGGTGCCTATACTTTGTTGGGGGGTGTGTGTGTGTCTGTGTGTGTCTGTGTGTGTCTGTATCATCAAATTGAATCTGACTGGTACAGGAAGAGATTGCCCCTCCTCCAGCAGAGCATCTGATGCATCTGATGGATTTGAACCATGTATCTCTGGGATTGCAGTGCAGCTTCTTGCCACTAGGTCACCAGAGCTGGCCCAGGGCCTACACTTTGGACTAACCATTGGATTTGTTCCCAGGCAGTTTTCATGCACATTCTCCCGGGTAAGGAACGTGAACTCTGGTGGCGGAGCCTGTAGGGAGAGGCACTGCTAACCCAGCAGCAGTGTTCTCCAGCGGGAGAAAGATGGGCAATCTCTTCCCTGGTGGTTTGCAGCCTCTGAAACCTGGTGGGGTGTGAGCTGTGGGCTGTCTGACACACAGGGGTGAGTTATGTAAGGAAACCTGGGCAGCTGGTATTACCCTGCTTAAACTTCAAAAACACTCTAGGTAGTAGATACTATTATTTCTAATACATTGATGAGGAAAAGAAAACTCAAAATGTCCTACTTAAAATCAAAAGTGGTAGGGTGGGCCATGGAGTAGGGATTATATCTCACTATATTAAATCTATGTATGACAGGTTTGGAAGCAGGAGTGGCATCTACTTCCTAAACAACGTGCCTCTGGAAACTCTATGAACTTTGATGAACGTTGATAGTTGTAGAAGGGCTTCAGGCCTTTTGTTCATAGAGTCGCTATGAGTCGTGCTCGACTCAAAGACAATCAACAAGAACAACATATTAAATCCAGTTGACTGTCTACTTTACTAGTTTATATTTTCAAAAATTGAGAGATGTGAGGTAGATTAGTAGCAGTGCATAGCTAAGTTTACATAGGATTCAGTTAGCTTAATAAATGGAATTGTTCTCTACCACAGTCAGGACCCTCCAGTGGGTTTGCAGAGGCAGAAGCAGTAACCCCCATGGAAGGTGACTGCCCATCTTTCTTCAGAGGAACAGCTGACAGATTCTTTTGGGAAGCTTGCATACCTTTGAGTTAACAATACAATTCTTTACCACTAGGCCACCACAGCCTTAGTACATTGAATAGAGACTTTTAGTACTAAATGGAATAGTAAGAGTCTTGAACATGCCATGGACCACCAAGAAAACAAATAGGTCTGTCTTGGAGTGGATGAAACCAAACTTCTCTTTAGGCTAGGAATTTGAAGCTCTTTCTCACATACTTTGGGCCTGTGGCCAGCAAGGACCAGTCCTTGGAGAAGGACATGCTTGGAAGGGTGGAGGGACAACGCAGGAGAGGAAGACCCTGGAGAAGACGGATTGATATAGTAACTGGGGCAATGGGAGTTGGTGTGTCAAAGTCAGTGAGACTGGCTCAGGACAGGGCAGGCTTCAGAGCTGCTGTATACAAAAGGGTTGCTATGAGGTAACTCGACGGCATGTAACAACAAAAACAACCACAAAAATCTCTAATGTGGTATATTAGGGAGCTCTAGTGGCCTAGTGGTAAGAAACCATGCTTCAATCCTGAAGAGACACAGTTTGAATCCACCAGCTGCTCCGCAGTAGAAAGCTAGGCAATCTCCTCATGTGGGATTTACAGCCTCTGAAAGCCTGCTAGAAGCTCAGCTATGGGTGCATTTTGACTCAATGGTACACGACAACAACAACAATACTGTGTATTACACACTAAATCATATCTAAATTCCAAATGTTGTTTGTTGTTAAGTGCCGTTGAGTCATAGACGATTCATAGTGACCCTATGAACAAAAGACTTGAACACTTGAAGAACTTTCAGTTTCTCCAAGTTGAAAGAGTTTCGTGTAGTAATTACTGAGTATATGTAATACTCACTTGTGCTTTACCTCCAAAGGGGAAGTTTATATTAATTTTAATTTATTCCTTCTTTTTAAACAAAACAAGCCAAACCACTGCCATGGAGCAATTCTGACTCATAGTGACCTTCCAGTGGGCTTCTGGGGCTGGAGATCAGAACAGGAGGACTGCCCATCTTGCTTTTATAAACCTGCTAGTGGTGCTGAATGGCTTTTGTTTAGCAGAGTGACACACTGCAGGTGTTTCTGGTGCCAACAGAGCTGCTTCTGTGGGTTCTAGAGCCCTAGAAATGAAGGCCTTACAGGAAGGTCAAAGTGTCAACAGAAGCCTATTAGCATGCAAATATTAGAACTCAAACTCATTGCCATCAGGTCAGAACAGAATGGTAGCTGACCCTCCCAGGGGTTTTTGTAGGCTGTCAATTGCATGGGAGGAGATTGCTCATCTTTCTCCCAAAGAGCCATTGGTGGATTGGAGCCAGCAGAGAAATGCTGCCTGTGGGTTAGTCCTGCAAGTGGCCCTGAACTACGCCCCCAGAGCACCCTGTGATGGTCTAGGGTGACAGATGGTCTAGGTTGAAGGAGCCTCGGTCAAATACATCAAGCATAGTTTTAGTTCAGCTGACTTCCTCATTGGCAGCAGAATTTCCTTGAAGAAAGATGTAGTTTTTTTGATTTGATGTCCTGGCACAAGTCACGTCTGTCCCCAAGATAAATGAACAGGCTGTAAACAGTTCACTGACTGGCTACTCTGAGTTGTTCCAACCTACATTTTGAAGCTAACGGCGCTGCAGAGTTAAAGAGAATTTAAGGTCGGTACCTCAGTCTGCAGAGTGAAAAGTTTGGGCACGACACTCCTCCAGCTTTCTTGGCAGGGCTCGTCTTCCCCCTCGCCTAGTGCCACCAAATCATGGCTCCAGTCACCTGAGGTGTACTCATCACTGAAATAAACGTCATCATCTTCATCAGTATCGTCAAAACCACCTTCATCAGCAGCTCTGTAACAAGCAACAGCATCCTCTACACCCTCACTGCTTTCTTGGACGCCTTCTTCAACTTCCATTTCACATACACTTTGATGACTCGAGGCCGCTGATAGGTCATCTGGAGGAGGAGGAGGTGGGCATGAGAACACAGGGCCACATAAAGCACCTCCTAAGAGACCAGCTCTTGATTTACCACCAGCAAAACCAAGTAAATCTTCTGAAGGCATTAAATTGGCACTCAAGCCACCATAAGGAGGAGGAGGAGGAGCGGGAGTGGGGAAAGAGAAGCTTGAACACTGGTGCCGAACTCCGGAATCGAGAGGGTATACTCTGGCAGAAGAGACCTCTTCAAGGAGCCCTTGTTCTTGGAAAATTTTAGGGCGTTCAATGTCACTGGGGGAGCCAAACAAAGGAGGTGGCAGAGGCTGCCTGGCTAGGGGAGCCGACTGCAGAAAAAGTTGTGAAGAACAGGAGAGAAAAGGGAAGCCATCAGACTCAGTATCGGCAAACAGCTGGGCTGCTGCACCCGCAGAACCAAAAGCAACCCGTGGTCTGCACTCTAGAGATTGTCTTTGAGTCGCTGGTTGTTTAAATGGACCCTCTTGACTTAAATCCAAAGGTTTGGCCGTGACTCTGTGTTCAGAATAGAATGTTGGAGCTGGTACTGGTGACTGTATGGTGTGGTCAAGCTCTTCTCCTTCACCGACCACCATCAGCTTTCTTGCCATTTTCTTCAGTCTTATAGGTCGAGGTTTTTTGGTCTGTTTCGAAGAAGGTGTAAGAATCTACAGAACAGAAAATGATAACATAAGGAGAAATTACAGAATAAAACTGACAATCAAACCATCATACTTATGACTTCTTAGTAGTCAAGCAATTGTTTCTGTCAGACCACGAGTCCCAGTGAGATGGGAAATGCTGGAAATAAACTCAGAAGCTTTCAAGATCCCTCAAGTCCAAGTCCCTCACGTGCTAGAAAGGGAACCTGGGAACTGGGAGACTGTCAGCAATAAGTACACCATATACATAAAGATCTTCTTCTTTGTTCATTTTTAAATTCCCACCCCCAGCATAATTTGAATGAAAGCTTAAAAAGTTTTCCATTTTACAAAAATTAATAATAGCAATGAAAGAGTTTTTCTTTTACTCAACAAGGAGAAAAATGAATTGGGGGGAACAGGTGGGTTGGGAGAAAAGTGCAACTACGAGGGACTGGAAACCCTAAGTCTCTGTAAACTTTCATTAAAATTAATTAAAAAAAAGAAAAAATTAATATACATTTTGGTTTGTGACACTAATTTCTTTAAAAATTTTTTCCCATGTGTGTGTATCGTGAAATCGGATCCAACTGGTACGGGGGAGATTGCCGCTCCTTCTCCAGCAGAGCATCTGGTGGATTCGAACCGTGTACCTCTGGGACTGCAGTGCAGCTTCTTGCCACTAGGCCACCAGAGCTCCCTTGACACTAATTTTTTTTTTAAATACATTTTTACTTTATACTGGTTTGCTGATTACGGCACTTAACAACATAGAGAGAGACCAGTTGGCCTAGTGGACAGAAAGCAGTACAGCCCTCCGGCCTATTTTTAAATTGTTTTTGTTCCAACATTCTTCTAGGTGGTACAGCCCTGGTGTGTCCACTTGCTGTACAGAGGTAACTCATTGTTGCTGTGGAGCTGAACACTGTGAAATTGATGTGTCAAATATGATAATGGTTACCCATGGTGGACAGTGTTTGGTGGAGCTCCCCGATTAAAACAAGCTTGGAAGCAGGAATGTCATCCACTTCCACAATAGCTGGCCTCTGGAAACCCTATGAACTTGGAGAAAGGATAAAGTCACACAAGTGTTGAGGACTTTCGTTCACAGGATTGCTATGAGTCGTCTACGACTCGACGGCACTTAACAACAACAATACTGGTTTGCTTTTATGACACTGATTTGAATACCGACAATATAACTGTATATTTTCCACTGTGATTCTTATTTCCATTCATCCTCTGTGCTAAACCTGCCTACCCTCTAAGCATTGTCCCTAAGCAAACGCCGCTCTTGTGATCATGTATAACCATGACTGTGCAAAGGAGCCAGGGCCTCCCTGGTGTTGTTCACCTCCTGGGTCTGTTGTCTGAATAGGGACCTCTGAGGTATATATAGTCTGGAGGGAACTTCACTGCTAACTCAATGGCTGTGACTCTGGAAGTTCAAATCCACCAGCCAATGTCTCTAGTTTTTCATATTTGTTTGAGTATAATTTTTCATAACATTCCATTATTAACAAAAAGGTTAACAATCCAATTCCAAAATGGGCACAATATATGAATAGATACATCACCAAAGAAGAAATTCAGATGGTCAACAGACACATGAAGAATCGTTCAAAATCTCTAGCTATTGTTGTTGTTACGTGCTGACAAGTCAATTGCGACTCATATCGACCCTATGTATAAGAATCCTAAACCCTGCTCTATCCTGTGCCAACCTTATTGTCTCAGATACACCTACCCCCATTACCCTTGTTACTGAATCAATCCATCTCATCAAGGGTCTTCCTTTCTTGTGCTGTGACTCCATACTCCCAAACATGATGTCCCTCTCC